AATTGATTCTGCTGGAATATAGTCTTCCCTCCTGATTCTCCCAAGCAAATTCAATGAGAAAGCTGGCAGGAATTGGAAATCAGTGTCACATGAGGTCTTTGCTTAATGAACTCATGAAGTCCATGCTTAACAGTAACTAGGGACTGCTGGAACTCCTATTGCTAAGCAGTGCAGTCACATGATATTATGTTTTCCAACTGCACTGCTTAGGGATGGAAATTCCAATCCTAGTTACTGTTGCTAAGTGAAGACTAATGACAATGAGTCTCCATGGAAGTTGACACATATCCTGGGTTCTCAACATTGTTCCCAATGAACTGATCCATCATTGCCAGCAGATTTCCTGCCTCAGTTATATTTTACATTTAAAAAATACTTCAATTTAAGAAAAACAAAAAGCTAGTATGCTGCAGAATAAAGTCTGGCATCAAACACTGTTTTTCATTCAAGAATCTGAAGTGATAATACTGAGTAAAGACCATATTCCAGCAGAATCAATTTCTGCAAAGCACCTGAATTCCACTCACAGAATTCCTGATTCATTACACACATTTTTATATAATGCATATCTTGTTAAATGTTTGTTTCATGCTTTGACAGATTAATAGATGTGTATTATAAATGTAGTGTGCTATGTTCTCTTGTTATAATTGCATATTGAATAATGATGAGTACATTACTTTCCCACCAAGATAATGAATTATGTCTATTGAGTGTATTTTTCTCTTCATAAAAAGTGAACATCTATATTTACTGATGCTAAATCTGTTATTACCACAGGGTATTATTTCACAGGCGATGCTGCTTATAGAACTAAGGAAGGCTATTATCAGCTAACAGGGCGAATGGATGATGTCCTAAACATCAGTGGACACAGGCTTGGAACTGCAGAAATTGAAGATGCCATGGTAATTATTGGGTCAAAGTAAAGTGTAAGCTCCAATAATTTATTCTTGTAAACTAATTGAAACATAGATATTTAGAACAATGAGAAGATTTGAATGGCTGGCTCCCATAGTTAATTTAGATTTGATTGTAGCATTAACAGACCTTTTGCATATTTAAACCATTATGGATTAGCCACCACAGATGGCCTCTTTATCTGATATTAACTCAAATAGAGCATATACAGTGGAAATGGTTCACCAACTTAGTCAGGTTACTTTAGCTTATGCAAGATGAAAGGCTAGTTTTCAAAACAAATTGTATGGTACGCCTGTATCTATCAAAACTGCCACAGACTGCATGGCAGGACATATTTCTACAGCAGTTTCTGATATGTGAATTTCACTTATAGTGACATCATAGGTCTATGATCAGAGATTTATCATCTTATTTGTGAGTATATTTTACATGTATATATGATTCCATGCATATATATAAATCTGGCAGAGTTTATATATATTTTTCAAAAGCTTTGATGTTATGCCAGGAACAATGCCTAGTTTTGTTTACTAATTTTTTTAATTTAAATTGATTTCAAAAGATAGGATAAAATACAAAATGCAAATAAAAAACAAAAAACAAGAACAAAGAATAACAAAAATAATAACAACACTGGGTAAAAAAAGGAAAAAAGTATATAAAACAGTTATACAAGTAACGCTAAACATACATCGTCCAATCTAACTGAATGTTGATTAATATAATTGAAACAAGTCTAATAGATTCCCCCTTTTACAATGGTTGTAAATTTTCCCATTTATACTTCCTAATTTACTATTTTAAATCACAGTGTTGTAACAAATATCCAAATATAAAATTATGTTGTCTGTCAATCAAATTGATCCCAGTCTCTGTTCACTATTAAAAAGCTATTAACTAGAAACCCAAAAGTTACACTAAACTTCAAAGTCCTCTAGTAACAGTCCCTTGTTGTATTTAACATACAGAAACTCCATAAATGGTCTCCAATCTTTTAAAAACTTGTCCAAATAGTTGTCTCTAATTAACACAATTAATTTCACTATCTCTGCCAGAACTGGCAATTTAAGGATCTATTCTCCAAGTCTCAGTATTT